GATGCTTATCTTAAGATACTAACAAGGTTAGGTAAGGTCGGTGTTTTCTATGAATCTTTTTAAGGGTATCTATTATGTTTAGTATATCACCTATGCACGTAGTTAATAAGTCAATATTGACTTTACGAATTTGCGAGAACGGGTTGCAGGGACATACCTGGCCGACCCCTCACAGTGTTCAAGAGAGAACTGGATAAACACCTCCAAAGGATACCTGATCAGGTCCCAGCACAGAGGGGTCAGGACCACGTCGACAGACCGAGGAAACTGGACCTTACTGCACAACTTAACAGACAGGGAGAGAGGAGACATGATTACCACGTATAAGAACGAGCATCTTCAGCAGGTGTAACAGCAGAACGAGAGGTCGCGGAGGGAAGCTACAGACGAGCCACACTCACGTAAGGAAACATTTCTTCATCCTCAGAATAGTGAGTAAATGGAATGCGTTACAGAAGGAATTCGATGAGTCAAATATTTAAAAGCCGATATTATATCAATAGGCCGTTCTCCCTCTTCGCCCTTACTTCATTACACACAGAAATCACAATAGCGTGATGCATCATGCATCATAAAACCCTGGTTTGTGTCTCGGAGAGGCTGCAGGATCCAGATATTATATCATTTGAGTGGGTCGGGCACCAACACTGCTCACGGGGGAGCCGGTCGGCCGAGCGGACAGCACGCTGGACTTGCACGCTGGATCCTGTGGTCCTGGGTTCGATCCCAGGCGCCGGCGAGAAACAATGGGCAGAGTTTCTTTCACCCTATGCCCCTGTTACCTAGCAGTAAAATAGGTACCTGGGTGTTAGTCAGCTGTCACGGGCTGCTTCCTGGGGGTGGAGGCCTGGTCGAGGACCGGGCCGCGGGGACACTAAAGCCCCGAAATCATCTCAAGATAACGGTAACCGCCAGCTGTACAGGCGGGACCAACGAGCACCATATATTCCGACCTCCACCCCACAATTAGGTGAATACAAACGTACACGCGTGCGCACACGCACACACAATCTGCAGGTTCAATACATTTACGACGAAGAGCTACAAAAGACCTTTGAAGATATCTTCTATTCAAATGTAGCTGTGTTAATATCCCCGGAGTTCCCCTGTGGAGCGTGTGGCTTCAACCTCCCCCAACCCCCCCTGCCCGATGACGCAAACGCACGCACACACGCACTCTCACTCGCTCGCTCGCACGTTACCTCACAAGACGTTACTACCCCAAGCCTCTTCATAGACAAGCGGGAGTAGGTGGAAAGGCATTGATATTGGTAAGGAATTACCAAACAGACAGGAGTCAGAGAGCCACGGTGAGGGGGAGGTGGCGGGGAGGGGGGGAAGAAGTCGGACTGGCGTAGGATAACAAGCGGAGTACCTCAATGATCGCTGCTGGGACCCATACTATTTCTCATCCTAGCTACAGGAGTTGAATCTTATATGTCATTGTTTGCAGACGATGTAAAACGAATAATATTTGACAGATGAGGATTGTAAGATTCTCCAGGATGGCTTAAATGGGTTGCAGAGTTGGTCCGAGAAATGGCTGCTGGAGTTCAACACCAACAAGTGTCAGGTGATGGGAACGGGTGCCAGGTCTTACGGGCTACTCATGCCCATGCCACCTCTTGGGTGGCTTAATCTTCATCGATGAATCAGCATGCCAGGTGACCAAAAGGCCAATTCACAAGTAAGGTCAACAACCTCCCTGTAGCGACTAGAGGAAAATACCTGGGAGTGAACATAACTCCAAACCTGGATAAGGAGGCATTTAGCAACTATGCACCACTGCACACAACCTATGTAAGACCAGAGTCAGAGTACGCAGCCCCCTTCCAGGAGCCCCCGTCTTAAACCACACTCAACGAGAGACTAAAAGGTTCTGAAGTTTGCAACGAATGAAATGCGACTCTCACAAGGAGGTTCAACCTACAGAGCCACAGTTACTGACCATGTGGAGGGCCAGAGTGGCCCAGCGGAGGGCGGGAGTGGCCCGGCGGAGGGCGGGAGTGGCCCGGGTTGCAGAGGTCCTGGGCCCAGCGTCCTCCCCGACCCATACATCAGCGCCATAATCCTCCCAGGACGGCTGGAGGCGCCAGCCACCTGAGCCCCATTCCTGGATTTACACTTTTGTCCTGACGGCGACCCCTTCCCCTCGTCTCCCCTCCCCAGCCCTCAGACACCCCTGGCGGCTGCACCACCACCACCACAGTGGTGCAGGGGACCACCACCACACCCGCGGATCCCAATACCAGCGCCCGTCACTGTCCCGGGATCAATGACCGTAAATTATTGCTGGATTAAGATGTCGCAGTGATGGAGGTAAATGTATCATGCGCTCTCAGACCGGCAGATGATCACCTAATACAAGCAATGCGTCTTGCTGCACAGCTCTGGGGTCTCCTGCACCACAGTTCACCACCCTCCGCGCACTCACCCGTCACCCTCTCCCGCAGGAGCTCCGCCCAATACACACCTCTAGTACGGCGTGTGCCTCCTCGGCAGCTCTTGCTATCACTCACTCACACACTCAAATGGTTGGGTACTGTTCCTTCCCTCCGTCGTATCCCAGCTTCTTGTCCTCATATCCCTTCCATTTGCTATGTAGTCATTCTGGAGACCTGACCGCGGCCTCCAGGTACGGTGAGCTCCAGGCTTGCCCTCGGGGCGTGGCATCCTTCGGTGAGGGAGCACGGAAGCTGTCCCTGAAGGAGGACCTCCACTGCCTCCCTGGAAGAGAACCAGGGGAGGGCAAGCTTCTGAAAGCAGAAGACGTGGACGTAATGGTGAAAGAAAGAGAAGCCACTCTACAGAGGAGGCCAAAGGCACCATCTGAAGCGTCAGGCCAGATGAGCGGATCCGACGAACAACCTCCACCTGCAGACTCTGAGACACAATAATGTGGCTGAAGATATGATGACCAAACCATACATCAGAAGATGGAGAAAAGACCCCGTTTCGGTCCGTCTGGAACCATTATCCAGTCCTCACACACGACCTGACAATTGTCCAGAACAGAGCGAAACGTCGCCGCTGCTCCATCCTCTGATGGAGCAGCGGCGGTGGTGACCAGCTGTTTGGTCACCACAACTTCCATCTCAACTCAAAATACACAAATTGACGAAGGGATTCGCCAGATAAGAGCCCAGAGCCTTAGACAAGGAGGAGAGGTGCAGAGCGGAAGTAACAGCAGAGTGAAAAGTTGATCTTAGTGGAAGCACCTAATTGGCAATCGCAAAGGTGTGAAATTTCCAGGACACAAATTCCCTGCGACCATGACGCCTACGAAACTGCTGGAGGACAGAGTTTCAAGGTACCTTTTCGAAATATAATTGATGAATTTGCTTTAATGTAATTGGCAAAAAAAATAACTTATTATATGTATATTTTAACTAAATTCCAAGATACACAAGGAAGTCTGAATTAACATGAGGTATTTGAGACGTGTTTGTTTTTTCCTTTCAAAGTTTATTTTCTGCCACAGAGGTGGCTGGTCATTTACAATGCTAACCAGCATATTTACATATTTCCTGTGTGGTCCAGGGGCAAGTGAAGAGTGAGGAAGACTAGACTGTGGCATCAACAGCGTAGAGAGAGACAAGCGTAGGTGACAGAAAGGGCATAGAGAAGGTCACAGACGACAACACTTCACAAAGAAAGAAGCAGCGGTTGACCTGAAGACGACCGTGGCGGTGGCCTCGCCAGACAGAAGAGATATTTAAACAGACACACACACACACCTCTTCAGTTGATTGACAGTTGAGAGGCGGGACCAAAGAGCCAGAGCTCAACCCCCGCAAGCACAACTGGGCGAGTACAACTAGGGAGCACACACACACACACACAAAGGGCCGGTGGCTGTGTGGACAGCACGCTGGATAGGTAGTCATGTGGACCGGGGTTCGATTCTAAGGGCCGGCGAAAGAAATGGACAGAATTTACACGTGAATAACAGTAGAGGGGCTGGTCCCAAACCAGCACACAGAAATAACACCACATGAGACCAGAAGGCATGGCAGGATGTGCAGAATACCCCCGTTGAAGAGCAGAGGTGCAACAGGTACTCTGAGAGAGAACTCTATCAACATCAGAGGCCCGAGACTGTTCAACACGCTTCCACTACACATAAGGGACATAACTGGCCTACCCCTCACAGTGTTCAATAGAGAACATGATAAACACCTCCAAAGGATACCTGATCAACCAGGCTGTGATTCATACGTCTGCTTGCGAGCAGCCACCTCCAACAGCCTGGCTGACCAGTCCAACAAGGAGGAGGCCTGGTCGAGGACCGGGTCGCGGGGACGCTAAGCTCGGACACCACCTCAAGGTAACCTCAAGGTAGGATAGCGCGGCAAGAGAGCGCCTATCATCACCCTCAGCTCTGGTGACCACATTCAATACTGGACCCCCGCCCAAGTCACTCTGATATTTGATTAAATCTGACTCTCTATCCCACCAGATATGGACCCGGCATTGTGTGGTGCGGCGGGTCGACTGGTCAGCGGATCACTGTTAAGGTCAGATCTTGGGGAGAAGGCCGCTACTCTCACAAGACTAACATTGTCGACAAGAGGTCCAGCGCTCTCTACCTCCACCTGTTGTTCAGCCTGGCTCTAGCCCAGACACTCTCTTATAAAGTAATTATCTCAAGGCGATAGATGGGAAGACTATAGTATGCTCACACCATGCAACACTAAACACCAGGGGCCAGATTCACGAAGCAGTTACTCAAGTACTTACGAACGTGTACATCTTTCCTTAATCTTTGATGATTTTGGGTACATTTATTAAACAGTTTACAAGCATGAAAACTTCCCATTTAACTGATGTTATTGTTATAAATAGTCTCCTGGTGCTTCGGAGCTCATTAACTGCTTATTTATTGTAAACAAAGCCGCCAAAGATTGGGAAAAGATGTACAGGTTCCTAAGTGCTTGCGTAACTGCTTGGTGAATCTGGTCCCGGACCGGGAAGACTATAGGACGGGTGGTGGGACTAACCTTTGGGTTCGTCGCTGTTAGAGTTGGGCGTGTCGGTGTCTCGGGCGTGGCCGGGTGACTCCCGCGACCCGTGCGACCCGCGCGGGGAGGGCGAGTCCCGCCGCTCGTCCAGCACGCCCATGCCGCCCCCGCCGCCACCGCCGCCCCCGCCGCCCCCGCCCGTGAGGAAGGCGGCGCGGGGGTCGAGGGAGGCGAGGAGAGCGGGCGAGAAGAGCCCCGACGAGGAGCAGGGGATGGCCGACGACGAACACCCACCGTCCTCCATCTTGGCCGCCTTGGCCGGCAGCGGGGAGAAGGCCGAGCCGGATAGACTTGTGGGCGGCGCTTGCAGCTTGGCGTGGGCGTCGTGGGCGCGGGCGTGGGCCTCGTGGGCGTGGGAGTGGAGCGGGTGGAAGGCAGAGGGGGAGAAGGGGAGGCGCGGGTCCAGGTGGTGATGGAGGAATGGGGGGGCGGTGAAGGGGAGGAGGGGGAGATGGGGGTAGTCGGAGAGGGGACGGAGGAGGGAGGTGGCCGCCCCGTCCTTCACGCTGTCAGACGCCTGTCAAGAGGACGACACGTCGTGGTTACTCATCTCAGCCTCGGCCTCACACGTCAATATTATTACTGCTGCCCCTCACGCTAGCTCTACTGCCAGGTGTTCCACTCACCCGTCACTCTCAACCACCTTCACCCGTCACTCTCAACCTCCTTCACCCGTCACTCTCAGCCACCTTCACCCGTCACTCTCAGCCACCTTCACCCGTCACTCTCAACCTCCTTCACCCGTCACTCTCAGCCACCTTCACCCGTCACTCTCAACCTCCTTCACCCGTCACTCTCAGCCACCTTCACCCGTCACTCTCAGCCACCTTCACCCGTCACTCAACCACCTTCACCCGTCACTCAACCACCTTCACCCGTCACTCTCAGCCACCTTCACCCGTCACTCTCAGCCACCTTCACCCGTCACTCTCAACCACCTTCACCCGTCACTCTCAACCACCTTCACCCGTCACTCTCAACCACCTTCACCCGTCACTCTCACCTTCACCCGTCACTCTCAACCACCTTTACCCGTCACTCTCAACCATCTTCACCCGTCACTCTCAACCACTTTCACCCGTCACTCTCAACCACTTTCACCCGTCACTCTCAGCCACCTTCACCCGTCACTCTCAACCACCTTCACCCGTCACTCTCAACCACTTTCACCCGTCACTCTCACCCACCTTCACCCGTCACTCTCAGCCACCTTCACCCGTCACTCTCAGCCACCTTCACCCGTCACTCTCAGCCACCTTCACCCGTCACTCTCAGCCACCTTCACCCGTCACTCTCACCCACCTTCACCCGTCACTCTCACCTTCACCCGTCACTCTCACCCACCTTCACCCGTCACTCTCACCTTCACCCGTCACTCTCACCTTCACCCGTCACTCTCAACCACTTTCACCCGACTATATAGACTATAGCCTTGCAGTGCCATATAACAGTAATGGCTTGGCACTTTCTCCTGATAAGTTCCCGTCCCTTCTCTGACAGTGCCCAACCACATCTAACTACCTCATCTCAACCACTATAACCAATCCAAGGCAATTAGTAAATACGTATATACGTATATACTATATACGACCTTGACTACCAGTGAATTACTTCCTATAGCTAACAAAGACATCATTCCTATAACAGCTAATGAAGACATCATTCCTATAACGGGAACAATGGCTTTTGTTAGCTAAGAGCTAACAAAAGTCATTATTCCTAAGAGCTAACAAAAGGCATTATTCCTAAGAGCTAACAAAAGTCATTATTCCTAAGAGCTAACAAAAGCCATTATTCCTAAGAGCTAACAAAAGCCATTATTCCTAAGAGCTAACAAAAGGCATTATTCCTAAGAGCTAACAAAAGCCATTATTCCTAAGAGCTAACAAAAGCCATTATTCCTAAGAGCTAACAAAAGTCATTATTCCTAAGAGCTAACAAAAGTCATTATTCCTAAGAGCTAACAAAAGCCATTATTCCTAAGAGCTAACAAAAGCCATTATTCCTAAGAGCTAACAAAAGTCATTATTCCTAAGAGCTAACAAAAGCCATTATTCCTAAGAGCTAACAAAAGTCATTATTCCTAAGAGCTAACAAAAGTCATTATTCCTAAGAGCTAACAAAAGCCATTATTCCTAAGAGCTAACAAAAGCCATTATTCCTAAGAGCTAACAAAAGCCATTATTCCTAAGAGCTAACAAAAGTCATTATTCTTAAGAGCTAACAAAGCCATTATTCCTAAGAGCTAACAAAAGTCATTATTCCTAAGAGCTAACAAAAGCCATTATTCCTAAGAGCTAACAAAAGTCATTATTCCTAAGAGCTAACAAAAGCCATTATTCCTAAGAGCTAACAAAAGCCATTATTCCTAAGAGCTAACAAAAGCCATTATTCCTAAGAGCTAACAAAAGCCATTATTCCTAAGAGCTAACAAAAGCCATTATTCCTAAGAGCTAACAAAAGCCATTATTCCTAAGAGCTAACAAAAGCCATTATTCCTAAGAGCTAACAAAAGCCATTATTCCTAAGAGCTAACAAAAGTCATTATTCCTAAGAGCTAACAAAAGCCATTATTCCTAAGAGTTAACAAAAGTCATTATTCCTAAGAGCTAACAAAAGCCATTATTCCTAAGAGCTAACAAAAGCCATTATTCCTAAGAGCTAACAAAAGCCATTATTCCTAAGAGCTAACAAAAGTCATTATTCCTAAGAGCTAACAAAAGCCATTATTCCTAAGAGCTAACAAAAGTCATTATTCCTAAGAGCTAACAAAAGCCATTATTCCTAAGAGCTAACAAAAGTCATTATTCCTAAGAGCTAACAAAAGCCATTGGTAATCCAGGGTGAGTAGAGCGCTCGGCCAGTGTGTGAGTCGGGCTCACTGGCGCCCGCGCCCTGAAGGAGGCGGCGTGGGCGTGGTGTGGCACTGACCTGTGAGTGTAGGGCGTGGTGGAGGCGCAGCGGGTCGTGGAGAGACACGCCCTGTGTCAGGCCCAGGAGTCCCGCCCTCACGAACCCACCCCCACCGTCCATCTGTGGGGAAGCATAAACACAATACCCGTCACACACATGTATGTCTCAACCACCTGTAAGGCTTAGGTCAAAGGTTCACATTAATATCTCAACCACCTGTCAAAGGTTCACATTAATATCTCAAGCACGTGTCAAAGGTTCACGTTAATATCTCAACCACCTGTCAAAGGTTCACGTTGATATCTCAACCACCTGTCAAAGGTTCACATTAATATCTCAAGCACGTGTCAAAGGTTCACGCTGATATCTCAAACACGTGTAGGTCTAAGGCTACAATATTATATACTGGCCATGATGGTGCGGCGAGAGAGAGAGGCCGGCATCATCTCTTCATCACCACCACAGCTCTTCTACACCTCTACACATGTTCATGTGGACACGGACATTCTCTGACTAATATGAGAGTGAGTGAGTGAGTGAGTGAGTGAGTGAGTGAGTGAGTGAGTGAGTGAGTGAGTGAGTGAGTGAGTGAGTGAGTGAGTGAGTGAGTGAGTGAGTGAGTGAGTTATAAAACAGGTGTGTTCTATGTTTTGGGAAAAAAAGAAAGAATATTTCAATGACTGTATTTATCAAGACCAAATTCGCCGTGGGGCAAGAACATTTGTTAGTGCGAAAGATCGACCCAGAGAGAAGGTTGCTGGCCGCTGCCTTAACCATTCCTCAGAAGAGAAGCCAAGGCCACCGTAGAAGCCAAGGCCATCGTAGAAGCCAATGCCACCGTAGAAGCCAAGGCCATCGTAGAAGCCAATGCCACCGTAGAAGCCAACGCTAATGTAAAAGCTGACGCCACTGTAGAAGCTAACGCTAATGTAAAAGCTGACGCCACCGTAGAAGCCAAGGCCATCGTAGAAGCTAACACCACCGTAGAGGCTAACGCTAATGTAAAAGCCGACGCCACTGTAGAGGCCAACGCCAAAACAGTAGTAGCAATATATTACTCCAGGAAATATAACATAGTTTACCCTACAGTAAAATTACTGCTAATTAGTAAACAAAATTGAATTGGTATAATATTTCGCAATTAACAGAAATGTTGTTTTATACTGCATTTATGTACAAAAAATATAAATAGGTAGCAGTTCAGGAACAGTAGACAGTTGATATGACATGACAGTTGACAGTTGGTATGACATGACAGTTGACAGTTGGTATGACATGACAGTTGACAGTTGGTATGACATGACAGTTGAAGACTCGCCGTCACAAAAAAAAGAGAGTTAGTTGACAGTTTCTATGACACGACAATTAGATGAGAACTTACTGTGAGAATGAGTTAAAACTCACTAGTTGTAGTAGTAGTAGGCATCCATCAGTCTCAGGAGACTATGGACTTGCGCACTGGCATCGGCCTGGTCTGGAGTGGCCTCACCAGGGCGCAAAGCCAGGGTAGGTTGATTCGGGGGAGAAGCTGTTACCCAGGCAGCAGGTCCCTTCTCATTCATAACCGAATGACAAGGTTAGGTGATCAAGTGCCTAACCACATCTGACCTGTGACACCGTAGGGAGGGGGGGGGGTACACAAACTGGGGTGTGGTGCCGGGGACGACAACACTTGGGCAGTGTGTCGGGGTTTGGCTCCGTCCTACCTACCACGGCCATGTCAAGTGTCATCCACACATCCGTGGGAATCAACATTCCATACACCTGGGCTGTGGGAGACTCGAATCGCGAACTCCCCCACGCGAAGCTCTATCGACCGAGCTTCATTCTACATAGTCAGGGTAGAGTGGATGATGATGATTAAAAAATGTCAGGTTGAAGTTTTATCACGCATTTACGATTACGAAACATTTACATCTTTCCTCGTTCGTGGCAGCTTAGTCTGCATTTATTAAACAGTTTCCCAGCTTGGAACTTCACAACCCAAGGTTATTATTGTTATAAACAAGCTCGCAGTGCTTCTGAGCTCGTAAAATGTTTAATGAATGTAAACAGTTTACATTGCCGCCATGACTGAGGAAAGATGAACAGGTTTCGCCAGTGGACACACGTAAGTGTCCACTTACGATGGGTCGTGGCGTTGGGGTCTCCTGCACAGGCACTGGTGACCACATAACCACCAGGAGTGCCAAGTGGCACTACAGGGGGGGGGGGGCACCAGAAGCTGGTTCTGACGGAGGTCCTAGCGGGTGTTCCTGTACGATGCCTCACCAAGCTCTACTCCCCACCCTATCAAGTGTGCATGTCCTCGGCCCAACTATCAATAGCCCATTATCTCTACTTTCATACGATTTCTCAATTTTTCAGAGACAACTTGGTATCGGTGGGCTGGTTCGTCGTCTTTTATAACGATTTCAAGTTGCTTAATTTCTCAAGAGCTGCAGTGCTGTATATACTGATGGTCAAACACGGTTGGTCTTCTCATTTAAACATTCTTATGGATAAGTAAACATTCTGAAGTTTAATAATTTGACATGGAAACGTTTCAAGTAGCATATTAACCTCTTGTGACACAATACGACACAAGCTTTCATTATAGTGAGCTGGAGTCGCCCAATCCCTCTCAAACGCACATTTGCCTTCTAAATAAAGTGAAAATAAGTTGAGAGTAATATGAACCAAAATAAACGAATCCCTCAAACTAATATGAAATTGATTATATCTGTATGTTATACCAGGGAGATAAAGTTGGGGCCCCCGGAGGCTGGTGGTGTGTGATGCTGCCTCTCTCTCTCTCTCTCTCTCTCTCTCTCTCTCTCTCTCTCTCCCCCTCTCTCTCTCTCTCCCTCTACCTGTCTCCATGTAGATGTTGGTGTGTAGGCTGTGTACAGAAAGTCTGTATCTCACCTTTGAATAAAAATAAAGGTTGGAAGGATATGAATGTATATCTGAAGTTATTACCTTAGTGTAATTATATTTACTTGGCCTTATCCTTCCAGGCTCTAAACACCGTAACTGCCAATTGAAGCCATGTTCACCTCGGTCTCTAAATTCATGTTTACCTCGAAGCGGTAGGGAGGGAGGCAATTATCAGGGGAAAACACCAAGCCAACACAACTATATTGCATTGGGAAGGGGTCAGGATAACGATTTGGGATGGGACGAGGGGTGGGGGGGGAGGGGGGAAGAAATGGTGCCCGAACACTTCGGGGAGGGTCGGGGATTGAACGCCGACCTGCATGAAGCCAGACCGTCGCTCTACCGTCCAGCCCAAATGGTTGGGCCACGTCGAGGCTATGGCAGTTGTACTCACCTAGTTGTGCTTGCGGGGGTTGAGCTCTGGCTCTTTGGTCCCGCCTCTCAACCATCAATTGTAGTGGGGTGGTCAACGCCTGAGACGCCCCTGGGAGTTTGAACAGCACATGCGTCTACTATCATACCGTAGGTTATCTTGAGATGATTTCGGGGCTTAGTGTCCCCGAGGGCCGGTCCTCGACCACGCCTCCCTTTTGTTACACATCCCCCAGGAAGCAGCCAGTGACAGCTGACTAACTCCCCAGGTACCTATTTACTGCTAAGTGAACAGAGGCATCAGGGTGAAAGAAACTCTGCCCATTGTTTCTCGCCGGCGCACGGGATCGAACCCGGGACCACAGGATCACGCGTCCAGTGTTCTGTCTGCTCAGCCACCGGCTCCTCCTACAACCGTACACTACAAACTGACCAAGGCAGACGACGCCAGCTCTATCCCACTAAGCTGGTCAATGGAACTAGGTGAGTACACACACACACACACACACACACACACACACACACACACACACACACACACACACACACACACACACACACACACACACACACACACACACACACACCGACGCACCAGCTTCATCCCGCATATTCCTTAAGCTAGCGGACCTAGCCATAATGCTGGGCTATGTGAAGGTAAGAGACCAGGGGCCAGATTCACGAAGCAGTTGCGCAAACACTTACGAACCTGTGCATCTTTTCTCAATCTTTGGCGGCTTTGTTTACAATTAATAAGCAGTTAATGAGCTCCGAAGCACCAGGAGACTATTTATAACAATAACATCAGTTAATTGGGAAGTTTTCATGCTTGTAAACTGTTTAATAAATGTAACCAAAGCCGTCGAAGATTGAGGAAAGAGGTACACGTTCGTAAGTACTTGCGTAACCGCTTCGTGAATCTGGCCCCAGTAAAGTAGGGGGCTCCTACTAGTAGAACTTCACATCACATTAGCACTAAGGCCTTCTTGAGGTTATCTTGAGATGATTTCGGGGCTTTTAGTGTCCCCGCGGCCCGGTCCTCGGCATGGCCTCCACCCCCAGGAAGCAGCCCGTGATAGCTGACTAACACCCAGGTACCTATTTTACTGCTAGGTAACAGGGGGCATAGGGTGAAAGAAACTCTGCCCATTGTTTCTCGCCGGCGCCCGGGATCGAACCCGGGACCACAGGATCACAAGTGCAGCGTGCTGTCCGCTCGGCCGACCGGCTCCCGTAGGCCTTCGGATACTTAAGAAATAAAGTTCTACCAACCTTACGTATTATTACTGCGCAATTATTATATATGTAAGAATTGAATTTGTGTTTTTAATTCCCAGATATAAAGTGACCGATACATTTGATTAAGAATTACTATTGGTTAAAGATTAGTGATTAGGGATTAAGGATTAAGGATTATCTTCAACTGTATCAAGGATCATGTTCTGGTAAATATTTATATATGCCACGTGACTGGCCATCACTCAAGACTGGAATTATGTCTATTAACTGGGATATATATAGATAGATAAGTTGTTCTTCCCCGTAATACTCGATCGCACGTTTACTCATCCGTTCAAGTGAGTGCACGCTTATACTCACTAAATCTTAAGTCTTTTACTCAGCCCACACGCTTGTAGATGCCGTACAGGTTTACACACATATGTCAGCAACTGGGTAGACTACGCCAAGTTGCGGTGGCAAGAATATATTTGCGCGCATCAGACAGACGCTATGTAAAGGCGGTTGTGTAGGGTATATATATATATATCTGACACTACATGAACCCATCTCAAGATATACTCTCGAGTATATCCACAAGTTCACTACCT